GACTTTGCTCTGTAATGGCCGCATGGGGGCAGCAGAGACTGAGATGCAAAACCGGGATAGTTGTACTGTGCAGTGACCACAGGGGGACAGCAAGGGGAAGCAAGTTAAGGGTTTGGTTGTGCCAGGAAAATGGGATGTGCCTGGAATGTCATTGCTGCTCCATAAAGCCATGTGGAAAAGAGGGAGAATCATCAGGCAGGTGAAAGGGACTGGTGGAGGCACACCCCTTCCAGGACTGCCCCAGCCAAAAGCCTCCCGCCCTTTAGCGGGGACAGAAGGAGCTGAAGGTCGCCCCATTTGTATGGAAATATTTCTGGCTCTTCCCATTTTATTAGGGACTGAGGGCAAAGTGCACAGTTTGCTGCATTCCTCACTCTGGCTGGGGAATGTGTGTGGGGGGGGCAGATGAACTTGGATCTGCTCCACTCGGGGGGACATGCACCCCTCCCCCGGCTGTGCACCCTGGAGTTGCAGCAGCCGTGGAGAGGTGCTTATCACTAGGCTTCAAGTTTCTGCAGTCTGATGGGGTAGTCTTCTCTCCCCAGGGCACCTGCATCCCTCATCCCCCGCCCCACCTTAGAGTAATGATTGAAATGAAAAGAAAAATTGAATTAGGGAGCTTAGCAATGATGGGTAAATCTTCCAGTGTGTGACTATATAAAATACTAGAGGACTTACCCCGCATTGTGCAACCTGCAGTGGGAGGAGGGGATTGACAGGCCACCCAGCAGCTGCTCAGGTAGGGGGCTCTTCTTAGGGGGTGGCCACTTTTTCCGGAAAATCAGCCGCTTTTCCAGAAAAACTTGCCAGCTGTTTACACTGGCCACTTGAATTTCCGCAAAAGCACTGACTTCCTACTGTAAGAAATCAGTGCTTCTTGCGGAAATACTATGCTGCTCCCGTTCAGGCAAAAGTCCCTTTTGCGAAAAGCTTTTGCGCAAAAGATCCAGAGTAGGCAGCTCAGATTTGTTTTCTGCAAAAAAGCCCCGATCACGAAAATGGCGATCGGGGCTTTTTTGAGGAAAAGTGCATCTAGATTGGCATGGATGCTTTTCCGCAAAAAGTGCTTTTGCGGAAAAGCGTCTGTGCCAATCTAGACACTCTGTTCCAAAAATGTTTTTAACTGAAATCTTTTCCGTTAAAAGCATTTCTGGAAAATCATGCCAATCGAGATGCAGCCTGCGAGTATAACTATTTCCTGCGCTTGCTGCCCCTCTGTGGTCATTCCTGAATTTAACTGTCCCTACTGTCTCACCCCTCCCTTTCCATTTGCTGTAAAACAATCCCATTCCAGGCACATCCTATTGTCTTAGCACAACTAAACCCTGACCTTGCTTTAAGTTAGAGGAAGCTGCCTACCCAATTTGGTGGCCTTAGCCATTTGAGGAGTTCTTGAACAGACAGACGGACACACAGGCACACAAACTCTCTAAAATATGTATCCTGTAACATTGCATGAAAGATTTTAAAACTGGGTATGTCCGAGGGATTCATTCTCCAAATAAACCTAATACATCAATTGGTCCAAGATTGTGGATCAGTTGATGTATTAGGTTTATAAAGAAACCATTATTGTGGCCAGTGCTGCCGCCAAGTGTCTAATTGGATCCACAATGCATCTCCTTTCCGACTGCACGCAGATTGCAAGGGATAATAAATGGGCAGGACCCTGTAATATAACTCTGAGCAAAATGACCAAAGTAATTTAGAGCACAGTCCATTAACCATAAAACAGTTTATACCCAAGCGTGATGAAAAGATGAGAGAGGAGCTGAGAAGTGATACAGAGAGTGTCGTACATGCCACAGTTACATAGATTCAGCAGTTTCATGGTTTTTTTCCCCTTCATAGACAGGGAGCGATTTGTCAGAAAATGTTACAAGTCCGAAAACAGTTATACTGAAAGATTTACCCCACATTGCTCAGGACCTTAACTCAAGTATGTTTTGGTTTTCTTCATTTAAATCATTGCTCTGCGGTGGTGGGGCTGAGGGTAAGAGGTGCAGGCTGCCATGGGGAGAAAGGATTACTCCAGTCCTTTCACCACAGCAGCTTGGAACCAGGTGAGAAGTGCCTCTCCATGGTCGCTGCAGTGGGCACAGCCAGGGGAGGGGTGCATGTCCCCCACCTGAAGGAGGGGGTAGCAGACACACAAACTCTCTGAAATATAGTAGATAGCTGTCCCTTTCTCTACCCTGTCCCCAATGTGATTATAGCTGTCTTGCTCCCTGCCACTGGTCCCTTGCTGCCTCCCTGTGGTCATTCTGCAGTGTAACTCCCTTCTACCAGATCCCTCCCTTTCTGTTTTGATGTGAAACAATCCACTTCCAGGCACATCCTGTTATTCTGGCACAACCAAACCAAGGCCTTGCTTTTTAGTTAGGAAATGTGTTGGGGAGGTGGCGAGTTTTTGGTGTGTCCTCCTGTCCTGCCTCTCACCTGGGCTGCAACTGCTCGTGCCTGCAACTCTGAGAGGCAGGATTCTACCCCAGTGGAAGCAGACTACATGGGGGTGGGGAAGTTCTGGGGCCTGTGCAGAGAAGTGGAGGTCAGTTTGGGGTGTCCTGACTCTCTCCCATCGGGGCTGCAGCAAGAGTCAGAGCCTCTCTGTTTGAGTACAGCAGTCCTACCTGGGCTGTGGACAGAGGGGACTCTCCTGGGCTGGGAGGGGAAGCAGGCTACACGAGGGATACCAAAGTTTCAGGAGGGTTATGCCAGGCTATGGGAGGCACATGGGTGGTGGGATGCTGCTATGGAAACTCCATTGTCTCACTAATGCCTCAGAGGGAGCTTAGTCCAAGTGTCTTCCCTTTTCTTGTTAAGGCTGGAATGAAGAAGAGTTGGTATTAATTACCAGCTGATAATTACAAGATCTGAAATATGTCAGGGAAGCTATGACGAAGGCAAAGAATAATGTAGCACTCTGCTGTTTTCCAGTTAGACTTGTAGAGCAAACACAAAACGGTGAGTCTTCTATAGTTCAGGACCAAAATATTTTCCACCTAGTATCAGGAGAGACAGATAAAGAGCTTGTTTTTAGCTCTGTTGTGTTTAACAGATGGCCATCTGCACAGAGATGTTGGAAAACCTGGGCTAAAATGTAATTTTTTGGAGGGAGACAGATCTAGATCAGAGACGTAAAAAGGGCTGAGAGTCTGCATTAGCAGATTTTAATGCAGGATCTGACTTCACTTGTATTGGTGTTTTTTCTATTGTGAAGCATGTAGGCTGCTTTTGTAGATAAGGATTCAGGCAGTGGACAGACCTAGGTCATGACATTTGCATGATTACATTTCAAACAAAAGTTTTATATAGGTGTTAATGGCTTAAGGTCTGAAATTCTTTTTAATAGAATTTTGGAGTGTTGTAAATATCTTTAAGATCCGAGTTAACACTTTGTGTTACTAATCAATACATAGTAAATTATTAAAACTGGAAGACCTTTATCATGGGTCCTGTTTGGCCTTCCATTTAGAGTTGGATTCTAGACAAGTGATTTCCATTAAGTTTTAGAATTTGTTTAAGAAGGGTTATTGGCATTAAGGCCAGATCTTGGTGCTCTGATATAGTTCTAGATCTTATGAGTCAATGGGAGTACTTACTAAGTGCGATGCGAGATGTTTTGTAGGACTTTATTTGCAAGGTCTTTGAAGAATGGATCTGTCTCCAAGCTCTGAAGCCACGTGTTAAAATGCTCTGGGGCTTCTACTATTTGCGATGGTGACGCATACAATGTGAAAGTTTTCAAACTAGAACTTTTTTCTGTTTTATAGGTCTCTGTTTCACTTGCATAGCATGAACCTAAACCTTCATTTAAAATACTCATAACCAACCACCTGATGTTTTATTCCCTTTACTATTTCAGTGGCTGTTTGTGACTGTTTGTTTGCTGTCTGTTACTTTATTACTTATTTTACTGTTCTGTTTGTGCACTATTAATGAAATGAAGAGTTGACACCCAAGAGAAACTATATAAGTCTGAGTGAATGCCTTTTACTCTTCATTCCAGCGTCAGTAAATATTGCATTAGTATTTGCAGAGAGAGCACAACTATCTCTAGCTTAGATTTGTTTGGCAGCTTACAGCTGAGCTATGTGTGGATAATTTTGTGTTCAAGAGGGATAGTTTGGAAAACACAAGAGTCGGTAGCACGCTAATGTTTTGGCATGTGCTTTGTTGTCTGAAAGCAGCTTTAGTAGAGATTCTGAAATTTAGTGGTCTATGGGAGTAGGCAGTTAAATTGGGGCTCTGGTGCATATTTTTTCTGCTTTTACTAAATGGCCATGTTTTGATTTATTTATATATCTGTTTTCAGTTGGGCCTCCTTTTGGTGTGTTTACTAGCTTGAATTATTAGGATGATAAAATACATGCAATCCAAGAGTGTTGTTAATTTTCTTTGTATTTGATATTAAACATCTTAAGCATTGCTTAGGTATCCCTTATTTTTTAATATTTTTTTTGTCTTCCATCCCAATGAACAGTTTAAAATACAGATTTATCTAGGTTTTTTGTTTGTACTGGTGGTGTACGTCCACACGTGGCCTCAATATCAACGAGAAGTCCTGTGGTACCTTATAGACTAACAGATTTATTGGATCATACGCTTTCATGGGCAAAGACCCACTTTGTCAGATGTATGTCATTTCGCCAGATGCATGTCTGACATGCATCTGATGAAGTGGGTCTTTGCCCACGAAAGCTTATGCTCCAATAAATCTGTTAGTCTATAAGGTGCCACAGGACTTCTTGTTGTTCTTGCAGATTCAGACTAACACGGCTACCCCTCTGATACTTGGCCTCAATATCGGTGCTGCACATAAAATTCAACCTACCCAAGGATGGAAAAGTAAAAATCAGTTGTTTTTAAACCCAGGAAGAGTCACTTGGGAACTTCTTCTGTGCAGTTCCCCAAGCTCTCTTACCACAAGAGCATTTGCAAAAAATAAAACTGCAATTTCTGATAGCTGACCTATCAGAGGAAGTGTAAGCCAAAAACCAAACCACAGTACTGAGTGGCATGTTATGTTAAAGTTTTTATTGCTACGTGCTCCCCAATACAACAAACAGTATCAGTAGTGTACACTTTAATGAAGGAGAAATTTTCTTGGTAGAAAAGAAAGCAAAAAGGTACAAGGAATATCTACATCCATATTGCATATATGTGAAAGATTGGGGGTGGAAGAGAGAGAATTTGAGTTGGGGGGCATTCCAAGGAAGCAAATACATATCCTATTGGTCTGTTTGAGGCTCAGGGATTGTCTGTACGCAATCTACATAACGATAATTTCTTTAGCCCTTCAAAAGCCTTGCATAGAAGTAGCAGCAATTCTTCAGAGGCATCGAATCAATACTTCCGTGGATTAGGCTACAAACATCATAATGTAAGACAGACCTTCTTGTGAGGGTTAATTTGCTGATATTCTAGTTTTCATTAAGGTCTCCTGACTTGCATTCTATCATCATCATCTCAACAATCATGCCAAGTTACTATACACATTTCTTCATCCATTTCCAAAATGTGATCCATGGTGTCCTAATATATTTCATAGGGATTTTAGTGCTACAAATGCACTGTTTTATTAAACAGTTTGCTCAGACAGGACAAATCATTGTGTGTGTGCGCGTGTGCGTGCAGAAAAACAAAAATTGCACCTCAAACTTCAGTAAACTATTTAATAACCTAAAGATGCTTGGAATAGAAGAAAACATGGTCATAAGGCTTTTTTAAAAAAATTAAATCAATTCATCTACAGTAGTTTAGTTACTTTAAATTTCTGTTCTATGCATATAACCATAGCATGTACATGTGTCTAATTACATCTCCCAATTTTTTATCTTGGCAAAAATGTCACTGCTATTAGTGTAAATATTTAGTACATAAAATACGATTAAGAGTTCAACTTTAATAAATATCTTTAGTTCTCAATCCTATATACAAGTACTTTACAGCAACACACAGGAGAGAGCATTACTGGATGAACGGAGAGAGATGGTTATTGACATAAATTACTAGCAAATTATTGCAGTCAGATGCATTGTGGTTGTGGAGATTGAGGTGAAACATGCTGAAAAATAAATATCTCTCACCTTTAAAATCAATGATTTAAACAGGGAAAACATCCATTTTAAGTCTTGCTACAGCTACTTCTTGTTAGTGCCTAGTCTAGCTCTGTGATGCGCTTTCAGCTTCAGAAACCAACAGCTCCTCCAGAAAACACAACTCACATTTGTCTTGTGAACAATACAGTACTTATAACATATGCACAATTACTTTTCTCACGAGTCTGTTCCTCTTAGGCAAAAGGAGAATTCAGAGAAGGCACTGCTAGTTCTAGACCTAAGCAATGCCAGCTACGTATAGGCTAGGGGTGTTAAAAAGCCTGTTCAGCAGCATAACAATTTTAATCACAAATGGAAGAAACTGATCACGTGCGCTAGTAAAATCGATGTTAAGTGGTAGGTGACAAGCTGGGTTGGACCAGTAAGATAGCAGTCCCCCCGCACCCCAAAAAGACATCACATTGTTGATATTAAAAACAACCCTTCCTAAGGTCAGTAGCTGTAATGCATATTAAAATGGAGCTCCTCTTTTTTATTAAAATGCTGCTTTGAAAATCAATTCCTGGAATGTCAGGAAGGCAGTACTCAACGGCAGGCACCTATTACATGTCCAGAAATGTAACATAAGTAAACAATTGCTTGACAGCACAACACTCTTAAAAATAATACTGATTTTCTGCAATATACAGTATATATACACAACAGCTGAAATTTGCTCATACAATATTGGTTTATATAGATAAATTAGCAATACAAGTCTTATGGATTCTGTTGTTCCACTGCAAAAATGTTTTGTAGAAGTGTAAACTTTTGGTACCTGTGGTGGTGGTGTTCCCCCCCCTCCCACATGTGATTTTTAAAAAAATAAAAACAATTACCTGATGTGCAAAATAGACTCTGGCCACTTTTCTTATACTACAGAACGACCACCACACTCAGCAACTTTCTTTCATTGATGAGAATATTCTTTGGTGCTTTTTCTCCCATGCATTCAAGCTAACCAGATAATGAAGTGCAGGAGGATGGCAGCATCTAGAAAGTGAACCAGCACTTACTGTTTTTTATTTACAACTGTAATGAGCTGATGATCCATAGAGGGTCGTGCTTTTGGAGGGCAGCACGCACCAGGGTGTCCTGAACAAAAGATTTCGGTTACTATCCTCCTCTTCTCATTTGCTTTCATCTCTCTACTGGGGGGCGTCTCAAAGCACGTCTCTTTTCAACATGCTTCTCATTTTTCCTTGAGGTTCTCACCGGAGACAGAGCACCTGCAGAAGTGTTGTTAACTGCTGCCAAGGGAACAATGGCTGCCAAAACGGATGCGTTACGGGGATTGAGAACACCAGTCTTAGCAGCTGACTGATAGGGCATCGTGACCAGCCTAGAAGTCTGACTTCCTGCTCGGTAAACTCTCTTCTGGGGTAACTCGGCACCTTTGGACTTGCTCGTTGATGTAGAAACAAGTACATCCACGTCCTCTTCTGTCAGAGGCCTCCTGCCTACAGAACTTCTGCTCTCCTCAGCGACCTCCGCGTGCTGAGGTACTAAAGATGTCGGCATCGGCCAGGCCACTTCCTCTTTGGTTTCAGCAGCTTCAGAAAGGTAAGGAGGCGGGAGAGTGCTGCTGCGCTTGCTACAAGATTCACAGCACAGCTTGTTGTAGCCGGGGATGGAGCAATAGCGAGCCAGCACCTCCATCTGACAGAAGATTGACTTGTCTCCTAGGCAGGGCTCATCTGCAAAACAAGCACAGCGGTGAGTGTAAACCGGGGAACGCACACTGGACGGCGTTTAAGACGTTCAGAGGCCAAAGCCTACATTTGGAGAAGGGATTGATGATGGGGTGCCCAGCCTGAGACACTGGAATGGGACCTGTTGGACACTCACAAACTGAGGTGCACAAAATGACTGGACACCTTTGAAAGAGCTGGTGCCCTTGCACAGGAAACAGATCTTTCTGCCTGTAGGAAAGCATGAGCTGTGGAGGGGGAAGACCAGAGAGAGTTCATGAAGAATATGCTGGTGCATAATTTGGCAGCTTTTCCATGCTGTGGCAGATGCAGTCCTATGCATTGTCCCAATCAGGCCCAAGATAATCCCTTCCAGTTTTGCCCTCAGTCAACAAGACCGAGGCCCAGAACGGACCTTCCCTTGAAGGGAAGGAAATTCGAGATAGTATCTCTGAAAAATTCTTCTCATGGGTGGTTTTTTTTTTTTTTTTTTAAACATAAGACTCTTAACAATTATTTGAACAACCTTTTGGAGGTCTTGAGTGATACATAACTGATAATCCAAGTGTATGTTTTGTGACAGGCCGGCCTTACATTTCCTAGGATGGAATATATGTTCTTTTGAGGATGATCTATTGGGAGGGCTCAGATCAGGTGCCAGTTGTCCCTGGAGCATGCATGAGAGCACTTAGCTACAGAACTGGATTATTTAGGCAAAAGTGCAGGAGCTGTAGCCATGCTGGACAAAATCAGCATGACTGATAGAAAGTGCACTCACAAGCAGCCAAAACAACAATGAACTCCCATTTCAAACTGAAAATGTGCATGTGCTCTTTACTTTCAGAGTGTGAATCGTTCAACTCGATTCACAGAAAGGTAAAAGAGTGAGGAGCCCTGTGGCACCTTACAGACAAAGATTTACAAGGGCATAAGCTTTTGTGGGTAAAGCTGATGCCTAAATAAATGTTTCTCTAAGGGGTGCATCCACACTGCACTGTTATTTCAAAATAACAGTGCGAGCGTGTACACAGCCATTCCATTATTTTGAAATCACTGACGGCTCATTCTGAAATCTGTAAACCTCAGTCCACGAGGAATAACGCCTATTCTGAAATAGCTATTTCAAAACAAGACGCGTGTAGGCGTTCCACTGCTGCTATTTCAAAATTGGCCCTGGTCAAGGGGCTTTCTAAGTGATTCCTCCCCAGTGCCTCTTGGGGCTCTCAATCGAGATAGCACGTCTACGTAAGGGAAGCCTGCCTCCGACTAACTTTGAGGCTTCCCTGTAGTGCAGACATGCTATTTAGAAATAAGCTATTTCAGAAGAGCTATTCCGAAATAGCTTATTTCGAAATAGCAGTGCAGTGTAGAGGTGCCCTAAGGTGCCATAGGACTCCTCGCTGTTTTTGCAGATACAGACTAACCTCTCAAAGAAAGCTAAACATGTTCTTCAGTGTTTGCAGATCTGTGATTAATCCTGAGGGGCACTAAATGCTGCAGTCTGGCATAATCAACCATGGCATGCTACAAGCAGCTCAGTAATTGTGTTACACTGAGCTGAAATGTGAATATTGATTAACCGCCTAACATTTCTGTCCCATCTCAGGTCAGGAACACAATTTTTCCTTGGCTTATGCCTCTAGCAAGTCTGTGAACATAGGAGACAGAACGCAGGGCAGAATTTGGCCTAGAAATTGGAAATAAACAGTACGCCATATTCGATGAACATGTTGGTAAGTTCTACTGTATTGAATTTATATATATTAGTTCAGAATGTCCTATGTATTGATATGTGGCTTGCATATATAAGTGTGATGTGAAATTTCAGCCTTTCTACCAGGCTGACAACAGCTGGCTTGTAAATTAGCATTGGTTCCACCAACTCTGGAATAGGTCTGCATATTTTACAATAGCTCATTTATTTCCCCTGACTCCAGTACACCCTAATTTACAGCCGTTTGTTTTGTTCCACTGATTCTCCAGCACACCCACTTAAAACGAGAGGATTAAAACAGCCCATCATTTATTTAAAAAAAATATAAATTCATGTCATTGACAAATTGTGTCTATTAGCATTTTCATTATTCTGTAGGCCCAATCTGACATCCTTCCTTGACAAAAACTTGCTTGCTTCTAGGCAAACCTACTGCTAAATCTGCAACTCTAGCAGTGAACAGAACCCTGTCTATGAAGCATCATGCCTCTAAGTCTCTTGAGGAGGACTTCCACATAGGAAACTAAAGGACCTTTTTCAGAATTCAAACTAGAACACTAATGTCAAAACTCAAATCTTTGCATGAACACTAGTGTAGCGCACACACATCAATCATAACTTAACAGCCAGTGCTTCTGTGTTCTTTAAAAAGTATGTTTTGGAAAATGTAGCAACTTTTATGTGAAATACCTTAACTTGTGCATTTACTTGCATCTACTTCAGTGCAATTTCAAAGACACCACTGAAAGAAGTTACCAAATGTGTCAAAGTAATAAGCACTTAGTTTGGTTTTACCTGTAGATAACACACTTGATTTGTTCCAATTTTCTGACAGCTGATTTCACTGAAGTAGAGCTTTACAGGCTTGGATTTATCAAATCAATTGTATAGTGCAAAGATTTGATTTTGTACTTATCTACTTCCAGTAAAACAAATACAGTCTTTGAGCTGTGTACTCACGTAGTCCCTTTATTTTATTGTTTAGATTAATTCTGCACCAACTAGATAACCATTTCTTATTCAGTATATAGGTTGTTGTATCCTTCTGCTGGTTTTCACGGTAAAAATTCTCCTTTTCACATTTTATTTGTTTCATGGTCACTAGGGGAGGAATAAGTGAGAAAGCAACTGGCTCTTTAAATAAGGAAGCTTTATAGCTCCATGGAGATATTTTTAGCAGCACCTAACAATTACCAAAGACAACTTTAGGAAGTCTACAGATCAGTGAAAAGGCATCATCAGTGTCATAGTAAGTAATATATAATATTCTAAGTTTTGTATAGTACTTGCAAACCATGTGCTCACAGGACACTAACTAAACGTAGAAATATACCACAGGGTATTTAAAGATCATGGAAGAAGAGAGTGGATGGCAGATAACTTAATTATGAAATATGGGAAGGGAGATGGCACTGAGATGTGGGAACAGAATGGTAAGTTTTCTATGGTGCATCCAAAATTCTTGTATCATCTGAAACTGCGTGGCAAGAGTTTAACGCTGGTAAAATGCTCCCATTTTAATCATGATGGATTGAGCTGATATTCTGTAAATATCAAACTGGCATAGCGTTTTAGGAAGCTCAAACTCTTGCAAACCATAATTAAATGAACAGCAATTGACTAGAAAATTGAAACAAATTAATTACACAGCAGACTGAGTAAAGAGTTTATATAGCCATCCTATAATAAAATAACCATAGTGCACAGAAACATAGCTATATAGTGATTTGCAAACCGTATTTAGAGCCATAGTGAAAAGCAGAGCTTTATTTGAATATTTGACCCAGAGACATGAGAACTATCTACTGTAACAGTTGAATGAAAATTAATGGAAACTGAGCACATAATCCCATTTTGACCCTTTGAAAGTTTTTGCTCTAGTAATCACGGCCCCACTCTCTGATCCTCATTCTTCTGCTATTGGTTACACTGCTGGTTATATTTGAAACACAGGGCTAGGAAGTTCAAATTTTCCAGCCGCTGTTCTGCAGCGTAGCTAAAGCTCTGCCGTCCCCTAGTGGTTAAAGCAGGATTCGTTCTGCATTACTTGCAGGGCTAAAGATTCTGTAAACAGACCTTGGGTCATTTCAAACTCAGTATTTGGGCACCTGCAGAGAGAAGCCTGATTTTTCAGAGGTACTGAACCCCTGTAACCTGCCTCTGAAGTTAACTGGAGATGAGTGGCCTCAGTTTCTACAAGGAGCAAACTTCGAGAAGCCTAAACATGGCCTTTAGACAGTGCTCAGTTTATGTACATAATTGAAATGGGAGAAAATTCCAGTTTAAAGCACAGGATCTATTTTGTTGCATGCGACCGTTCAAAAGTTGTGTCCTTATAACACTGTAGCATCGTCAAACTGTCTAAGCTCGATATGCACAAAATTATTAGCATCTACTTCTACTGCCTCATCGCTCAAAAGGCAACATGCACAAGAGCGCAGAAACAGAGTGGTTAAAGCTAAAATTGAAGCACTGTACCAGGGCCCCATGAACCCTTAAGCTAACAAAGCTGTAGCCTTAGGCCCTCCTCTTGTGTAAGCTCTCCTGGTTAGGCAGGCCTGGGGCTGGTGAGGGAGTGAGCTTGGTCATCCTAGCCCTGCTGGAGGCCAGAGTGCTCCTGCCAGCAGGAAAGACAAAGAAGCTCCTGGTGGTTTAGAAAGTCAGCTGTGCCACTGTCCCCCTCAGCTGATGCTGGCAGGATACTGCCTCCTGGTGCCTAGTGATGAAGGCAGGGCGAAGAGGCAGTATTACCAAAGCAGTAGGGCGTGAAGCTTTCACCGAACCTGCACACAATCTCCAGCCAAAACGACTGTTCCTCTACAAGGAACCAATTCCCACGTATTAGGAAAAACCAGAATCCCAGCCTGGCCCCCAATACTTAACTTGTACAGTCCCTTCCAGTGAGGGTAACTTCTGCACTGAGATGCTCAGCCTAGTTCCACAGGCCACCACATCTTGCTTTGTACTTTTAAGTGGTTACAAGAGCACTAGAGTAAGTCTAGCAAAAACTTAAAGCTAAATAAACCTGAAGTTTGTCTTCGTTTTTCTGTCCTAACTCAACATAACATCTTTCCCAAGTCAAAATGTTGGGCAAGCCTGGAAAGAATATGATCCAAGAAGGAAATTAGAACAAACGCCAATTCCTGTTGATAGTTACACCTTTGTAGTCTTAGTGCCTTCAAGCCAGGGTCTGGGCAAACAGACTCCATCCCCTGCCCCGCTAAACACGGAGCCTTTTAAGGAAAAACAAGCGAGATCTGCAGTCTACTTGATCCTTCATTCTACACCAGCATAATAAACAGACAAGAGAGGTGTCACAACAGCAGCCTCAGTTGGGCTGTTCTTTTGAAAGGTCATTAAGGGCCCTTCTAAGATGCTGATTTTCAGTGAAGTCTTTGTTCAGGGAGGCAGAGAACACAACAGGGAATAGGCCTATGCTGTCAACTCTTCCTTGTTCAAAAGGTGAAAAGCTTCAAATTAAGTTTGTTTAATGTTTGTACACCGACTTTGAAGAGCTAATGTGGTACAAAAATGCTAAAAATAATGACCTGGCTAACCAGCTATAGCTGTTTCCTGTTTTCTTACCGAAAGTATAAAACAAAAGTATAAAACATTCGAAACCGTAGCTCGTGTACTGCACACAGAGTTCGTGTCAGGTCAGAGCTACTGAACACACAATCTAGAATATTCCTAGAGGGCAGGGGACCGGATTAGACAACCTCTCAAGGTCATTTCTAGTCCTAGGATTCTAAGTGTGGAAGAGTTTGGTGACAGAATGGCCGAAGGTTAATCACGGGAGATTAACTATACAAATTGGGCATCATCTCACTAATACTTGGGTTCAATATGAAAACAGTAATTCACTGTTCTCAATGAGTACAACAGTGGTAGTCCGCTTTCAGAGCAGGGCAGCCTAAAATACAATGCCACCCACTACCACTTCCTCTATTTCGATAGATTTTACATCCAGTTGGTTTTCTTTTACATAATAAAAGCTGGCATGTGTTGTAGAGTCCATAGCTTGGGAGAAAACACCTGCAGCCGAATGTGGCTTTGTGTGGTGGGCCACATGGAGAGCTGAGAGAAGCACAAAGTTGAAAGGGGAGTAGGATGAGGAATGTTTCAGCCTCACCAATGAGCACATTGCTACTGGGAGAAAGGAGGCCTAAGAGAGAGAGCAGAACATCCATTGCTCGTGACTTGGCCACAGCTAAACCTAGGGGAAATAAGTTATTTGCTTGAAGCACTGAGTGTGGTGGGAGTAGAATGAACTTGTTAATTTTACATAAATATGTAAATACACATATATAATGTCTGACTTCTTCATTTTTTTTTCCAATATGTAATTTATACTTAGGCCCTCCCCTTTGTAGAATGTCAAAGATCATAATTTTCTTGTTTTTGTGTTAGCAGTAAATTCCAGGATCAAATCTCATACTCTTATTATGATTTCTGTCCCCCTGTCAACAGGAATTGGTCTTGGTTTTCATTACCTTGTTGAATCTCAGTCATTCTAGGCTTACCCAACATTTTCTCTTGGGAAAGAAGTTAGGTTGCCTTGGGACAGAAAAATGAAGACTAACTTCAGATTTATTTGACTTTGACGCTAGGCATCATACCCTGAAAGAGGAACTGTTGCTCCCATTTCCAGTGCCATCATTATTCAGGAAATTTACTTACCATTACAGGGAGCAAGCTTACACACTCTCACAGATTCAGGTTTTTCTCCATCACAGTGGTCACCAGCACGGCACGTGACCTGCCTGGACTCGGTTCCTTCCCCACAGGTCACAGAGCACTGCAGAACAGATACATGAATTTTACTATAGTAGCCATGCCTCCCGAAATGGGCGATATTGTACAAGTATGGTGTTACAGGCTGCATAGCCTGAGCGGGCTGACCTTAGCCGTATGCTGTAAATTCTCTCCTTTGATAGGAGGTTTTGTAGATTGCCTTGGGGGCATAAATTAGGAAGAGTGGGAGGGTTTCTCCTTTCCTGCAATGTTTAATTTTTTGTTGTCATATATTGTAGATTGGGCAAGTGTGACCTGAATATCTAAGCATTAAAGAATGGGACACTGAGTTACCCTAAGCCCAGCAGCGTATGGGGCACAGGCAAACTGCAAGTCAATTTGCAGTAAGGGGGAAACAAAAGACCAAAGAACCTGCACCAGACTTTAATTTCGCACATCTTTCTTCCCTGTGTGTGTCAGGAAGTGGGGGAGGAGACGCAATAGCCCTTGTTTCTCCAAAGCATACAGTGCAGGGGGAGTAGCAGTCAGCTGGAGGTTGCTATATGTGTCTATGGTCCTTCTCTGAGCATCTCACAATCAGTAATGAATTTATCCATACAACACCCCTGTACGGTAGGACAGTGTTGGTAGCCCTATTATACAGAGGGGGAGCATAGAGGCTAAGTGATTTGCCCAAGGTCATAAAGAAAATCTGTGGCAGAACAGGGACTTTAACCCAGAGCTCCTGCATTCCGTAGTGTTGTTCTTACTACTGGAACTCCTCCCCCTGTGTGAGTCTCAAAGCGACTAGCCCACAAACATCTAACTTCTGTCCTTAGAAAATATGGAGAGAACATTAGCACTGCGACACAAGTGCAGAAAGTCACAGATCGAGATTATTGCTTCATCCCTTAGCTAAGCAGCTCAGGTGTTCCTTTATAAAGCACCGAAACAAACCAAATACTCTGCAAAAACACCTCAAAGCTTTGCTGCAGGTAACACTTTAAAAAACAACACCACTTCTGCTAACTGAGAAGCAGCGCTAAGGAGTTGCTGAACTTTTTCCCATGAAACTTCATGTGTAACTTTTCAGAATTTGACACAGTAATTGTTTTCTTGTCGGTTAGCATGCTTTTTCCTTCCAGGGTTACAGAGACCTCAAGGCCCAGGGTTTCCAGGTCACTGTCTATCGGCGGTTAATTTAAGACCTGGAATTGACTAAAGTTGCACCAGGAGGCCCTTAATCCAAAGGCAGTGTTGAGGCTACGGGCAGGTGGCGCTGGCAAAGGTAAAGCTGTTACGGCTAAGAAAAGGTCTGCCAACTCCAAAGATACATGGTCCAGTGTAGAATACTGCTTGCCCACCTCAGCCCAGGGCCCGGCTTTCCACGGTGCAGGGCATGGTGTTCTGTTACACGGCCTGCGGCTCTCAGGGCGGTCCCCGCTACAGTACTTGATATGAGTCGAGCGGTTTGTGCCATCGTGAAGAGGTTGAATGCAGCGCACAGTACGGATCTGGTACCCAGAGCTCCCGCAGGTTTTTGTGCAGTATTCCCATTCATCGGCTATCCAACTGGGTGGATTAAAAATGAAAATGCCATCACACATTTAATCTATTTATCTACCACCCTCTAAACAACAGCTAGTTGGTTACTGTAAATTCTACTCTGCTTGACTTACACTTTGACTCCAGGGCATGCTTTGTAATACTAAGCATCCCTTACAGAAAAATCCAATTGAGTGTAATAGAGAATGAGACTCTTTATAGAGCATTGTTAAAACTAACCTTTACAATTCTATTGCAGGAGCACAATTCTCTTCCACATACAGCAGCTTTCTACTGGGCATTTCATTTTAGATTGGTTTCACTCCTGTTAAATTCGATGGGATTTTTCCATCGGGTTACACACTCCCATTATTGTACTTTGAGCTACAGAGAAATGAGTGCTGTGGAGATTAATTTCATTTTTTCCAAGTGCTCATGAAAGAAATAAAACTGGCAGCCATGGCGATTGCATGCGTCTGTCTGTACACAGAGGATGCAATCCATCCACTGAGGGTCACCCAGACCAAAACAATTTAAATCCCATTTTAGCCCCAGGCAGTCTTGACCCTCTTCACTGGCAGGGCAGGAGGGGAAAGCAGGAATTTCATCAAAAATAAAGAAGCTTCCCAAAGCTTTTCCATTAATATGTCTTAATCTTGACCCCCCCCAGGCAGCACCTCTCAGCGGAAGACATTTTCAATTCTGTTCCTATTCATCCTTTAGCCTCTGTCTTAACAGGCATGCCCCGTTAATGCCAGCTCTCCATTAAGAACTGAAATGACACAATCATCAAGTTCTTTTCAAACAGGCAGCAGAACTGCCATGAGATGGGAACACGCTGTACCATCAGCATTGAGCCAGGCTGGGTGTGGCTTTTAACTACCATTTTCTCCAACCCACAGAATCTCAACTGTAGGACTGGAAGGGACCTTGATGGGTCCAGTCCTCTGCACTAGGCAGAACAAGTATTATCTTCTAGCTCATCCCAAAAGATGTCTGTCCAACCTGTTCTAAAACCTCCATGATGAAAATTCCACAACCTCCCTAGGTAACGTGTCTCAGTGCTTACCTACCCTGACAGGAAATTTTCCTAATGGTTTACTTGCTGCAATTGAAGACCAATAACTTCTTGTTCTGACCTCAGGGGTTACAGAGAACCATTTATCACTCTTCTCTTTATAAGTCTAAGTCTCCCCTACCCTGCAATTCTTCTCTTCTCCAGACTAAAGCCATTTTTTAAATATCTTTCCTCATCAGTCTATTTTCTAGACCTTAATTTTTTTGGGGGGGAATCTCCTCTGGACTTTGTCCAATTTGTTTTCAACTTTCCCAAAGTGTAGTCCATAAAAATGGCCACACTACTCCAGCTGAGGCCTAATCAATGCTGAGTACCATGGAAGTAACATGTCTTGATTACAACAAATACGCCTGCTAATCATCCCCAAAAGGTGGGGGTGTGTGTGTCGGTCTGACATGGGTGACTCCATATATAGTTTATGATCCAGTTTAACTAGGGCCCTACCAAATTCATAACCATGAAAAACATGTCACAGACCATGAAATCTGGCCCTTTGCGTGCTTTTACTCTGTGCTATACAGATCTCACGGAGATCAGTGTTTCTCTAATTGGGGACCCTGACCCAAAAGGGAGTTGCAGGATCACAAGGTTATTTTAGGAGGGTCACGGTATTGCTGGCCTTACTTCTGTGCTGCCTTCAGAGCTGGGCAGCTGGAGAGCGGGGATTGGAACGTGGGCCTATTGCCCAGCTCTGAAGGCAGCACCCCACCAGCAGCAGGGCAGAATTAAGGGTGGCAACACCATACACGTGTTGCCCTGACTTCTGTGCTGCTGCTGGTGGTAGCTCTGTCTTCAGACTTGAATTCTTGGGCAGCAGCTGCTGCTCTCCAGTTGCCCAGCTCTGAAGGGAATGCTGTTGCCAACAGAAGTAAAGGTAGAAATACCCCCCCCCACACACACACACACTAGCCTTGCGACCCTCACACAACTCCTTTTTGGGTCCAGACCCCTACAATTACACCACCATACCATTTCTGATTTAAATAATGAAATTTACTATTTTAAAAATCTTATGACTATGACATTGAGCAAAATCGACCATGTATTTGTGAGGGACTTAAGTATAACCCCTCCCCCCAATATTTTTCTGTAGTATTTCTTCCTACACAGTCATTTCCCATTTTGTATTTGTTCATCTGATTACTCCTACCTAAGGGCGTGTCTAGACTACAGGGTTTTGTCGACAAAACTACACCTGCGTCTACACTGCCGCTGAAGTTCTGTCGACATAACGTCGACAGAACTCGGCAGTTTTGTTGACGGCTGTAAACCTCATTCTACAAGGAATAACCTCTTTTGTCGATAGAGTTCTGTCAACAGAAGGCGTTATTGCATGTACACTATCCTTTGCGTCTACACTTTCGGCTTGCTTTTTCGACAGAACTAGCTGTAGTCTAGATGCTCTTTGTCGACAGAAGCTTTGTCGACAGTATCTGTCGACAAAACTTCTGTCGACAAAAGCCTGTAGTCTAGAAGTACCCTTCGTGTAGTACTTTGCATTCACTCTTACTGGATTTCTTCCTATTTATTTCAGACCACTTCTCCCGCTGTCAAAATCATTTTACATTCTAATCCCATCCTCCAAAGCAAACTCTCCTAGCTTGGTATGATCTTCAAACTTTGTAAGTGTACTCCTAAAACATTATCTAAATCATTTGAGGATACTGAATAGAACTGGAGAGCTCTGTGTAACCTAACTCATTATGCTCTTCCAGCTTCACTGTGCACCACTGATAACCACTGTTTGAGTGTAGTTTCCCATTCGTTTGTTTACCCACAATTAAATGAGGTCTGCCTAGGCTAGATTGCTCATGAGAAGGTCATGAGAGAAAGTATCAAAAGGTTTTCTAAAGTCAAGATATATCACATCTACTCCCCCTCTCCAAGTAGGAGTTTTGATTAGTTTGACATTGCTCTTGACAAATCCATGTTGATGGTTACTTATCGCCTTATTTATTTTTTGCTTGCAAGTTGATTGCTTGATTATCTTTCCAAATACTGAAGTTAAATAGACAGGCCTATAATTCCCTGGGTTGTCCTTATTCCCCTTTTAACAAATAGGTATTATATTTCCCTTTTATCTAGTCTGAGATCTCTTCCGTCCTACATGAGTTCTCAAAGATGATTGTTAGTGGTTCAGAGATCAGTTCCGTAAGTGTTCTAACATGTGTTTTGTCAGTCCCTGCTGAGCTGAAGCCATCAAAGTGATTTCTAATTTGTTCTTTCTCTGTTTTAGTCTGAGATTCTCAACACAATTGCCAACTCTCCTGAACCCTTTTCCCTTAAACTTGTGTCCCATGGGTTCTTACTGACCGATTTTCTGAGTTTGCTGAAATCTGCCTTCTTGAGGTCCATGAACTTTATTCTCTTCTTTTCCCTCCCACCATTCCTTACAAGCACGAACTCCATCATTTGAGACACACATCTCATTCGTCTGCAGATTGCACATCCTACGAATAGGCTTTGGTTTCTTGCTGGCTTCGCAGAAATTGCGGTGAACCATTTTGTTATCACTTTTCCTGCGGCACCCATATTTAGTATATTGGAAACCTTGAAAATATTTCAGAAAGTAACTTTGTGTGAAAATTAGTAAAAAAGTCCTGCCCCTTCTTAAACTCTTTTGTTGAAATGCAGCATTTGTGGACTATCTTATGATTATCCATCCAAAAGGCATTTATACTATATTTAAATATTGTGGTTCATTACGATGTCAAATACAAAATGCTCTCGGGATATAAAATTCAGAAGTATCTGCAGTAACTCTACGGTATATTATAAAATACTGTGATTTTAATAGCACTATTGTTGTTGTTAAATAGGTTTTAAGGCCCGAAGAACCGTAATAATAATCAAAATCTGACTTTCTGGATCACTCAGGCAATATTCTCCACAAGGGAAACAGGCACAGAAAGGAGAAGTGAGTCACCCAAGTTCACACAGTAAGTGAGTGGCTGAGCTGGGAACAGCATCTGGGTTTCTTGAGTCTCAGTTCAGGGATTTATCCATTAGGAAACACTGCCTACCCACAGTCTGTTTGTAGTAATTCAAGTTACTATAGCATTTGTGGTAATTTCCTTTGTAACTGTCAGGAACATGGCAAATGCTATAACGTTCATGCAGTGAAAAAGATCTACATTTCCAAAAGTGACAACTGCTGGTTTCCACAATCAGCTAAAGTGTCCAATTTAGACATCTTCACAGAATGGAAAGGCAACACTTTGCAAAAATCAGACAACTTGGACAACCAAAAAACCGAAGCACCGAAAATGCATAAACACTTCTGAAAATGTAGCCCCACGATTTCAAAGGCATTCACAGGACCCTGGTCTTTTACCCTTGTTCTTCCACCTAATTTACCATTAATCACTAGAAGCTGCTGCATCTCTCTTTACCTCCAGCACAAGGTTTGGAGCACTGGGACCAACTCTTCAAAGCCCACTCAAAGGTGTCTATTTCGTCCTGAAGAATGTTGTTACTGTTGATAGTGGGTACTGAGTCCTCATGAATGATGTATTTGTAAGTCAAGCTAGATCTTGTGTCGTTCTCCTGAGGAATGACCTATAAAAGATCCAATACAAATGGAATGCATATTTATTCTTTTCCCAGTTAACAAATCAATACCTGGACGGGTAAAGGGTCTTCGGGAAATGTGGGCAGTGCTTAAGAATTGAAAAACGAACTGAACTTTGCCTTCATATTTAGTACAAAAATTAGCAAGATCAATACAGAAAAATATGCCTCTGAGCAGGGCTGACCCAAGTGTTGTTGGCACCCCCGTCCTCCTCAGATTAAATAGAGAGAGAACTGAGGAGCTTAGAAAGAAATTTTACCTTTGTTCATTTTGAATGCCAAGTAAATAATGAAAAAAATAAGTATTTTTTTCTACTTGTTATTAACCTTAACACAATTAGATGGCATGGGATAAATCACCCAGTAGCTGATGCTTTAAAGTTTTAACCGTTTTGAATTGTACACAACGTTTCTGGTCAGCACTATAAACAGTTACATTTCAAGTCACAACTATCTTCCTTCCACAGGAACTGATTTGAGAAGCTGTGAAAATCTTTATTCCTGGATACTGAATGAGGTCTGTTTTTTGAGTTGTAGCCCGTTGATTTGTGTCACCATTTAGAACTTTGGTTTTCTTGCTTTCGCACATTGGGCAATGCATTGTTTGAGACAAAGTTTTGAAGCTATTTCATGTTCTATCAAGATGGTGGCCAGTCCAACAGGTCTCTCTTTCTGCATGGAAGAATGAAGATATGTCTCTATCAGCTGTAACTTGGAAAATCTATGCTCCTCACTAGCAACAAAAGCTGGAAGAGTCAAAACAGTTTGAAGAGCAATGACAATGTTGGGGAAAGCTGTCTGTCAGTCTGTGTTCAGAAATAAACTGCAGTACATCTTGAGGTATAAGATGTCTTGGAAGCTGTGAAACAGCCTGCAGTTCACTGCACAAATCTACTGCATCCATATCTTTTTGCATTTCTAGTCTGTCATGCTGACTAACTTCAAGCAGTGTTCTAATATCTGTTTTGAAGTCTTATTTTGCACCGCATCGAGGAAACCAAATATTGAATCAAGCCACAGGATCGGCTCAAATAGTTCTTTGACTGACTGGATTGCAGGATCTAGGACTGAAAAGTAGAAGTGGGCTTCAAATTTTTGATCTGGATCCTGAATCAATTAGTCTTTTGCCTCATATGTGAGGCCAAATCCTGACCCTTCCTAGCTCTTGGCTGCTGAACTACATGGAGCTGTGTAGACTGGCCATGATTCCTGCTCTGCGTGAGGGAGTGTCTAGTCACACACGTGGTTCTGACCAATCGGGTCCTGATCCAAGGGCTCTTAATATCAGCAGGTACTATACTAAGCCTTTAGTTAGCTTTTACTCTTGCATGAATAGATTGGTGCTTATGATGTAATAGTGTGGACACTGCATCCTGCCTCTGACAGTAAATGTTAGTAAAATTATCCTGAAAACTTCTCTCTCTTACTGCTAGAGTGGACTTCAGCTCATCAGCGCTCTCAAAAAAACCTTTATATGCGTGTTTTCCCACAGAGATTACAGATTTGTCCCGCTAATAAAAATAAGCTGTTTGGCCCCACAACCTGTTAAAAAAACCAACCTGTTAGCATAACTTACCAATACAACAACAGCATCATGCAAGGGCCCATCGGTATGAAGCGTTTCTATGTCATCTTCTATGTTGTACTCCCACTCGACACCAAGATCGATGAAGGACCGTGACTTGGCCTCCTCTCGTTTCCCATTCAGAATATAGTGTCCCGTAGCCTGATTCTTAATGGCTAAAAGGGAGCAAAACCAATGACAACTGTGCTTCTTGTCATGTAATCTACAGTCTTTGGGGTTCACCTGAAATTTGACAAGTAGCATTACCATTCAAAAATTCTCTTCTTGCTTACTATTTTAATGGTTGCATTTTGCAGAGTGTCCTCAGGAACTGAGGAGTTTTTGCTGTTCCTAATCGATGAAATACTCTAGTTCTCCCGTTTCTTCCATTCCGGATGCAATTTTCCCTTTAACACCCCTGAACCCATCCCTCTTTAGCATGCCTCCTCCTACAACCTAAAGACCTGGAGACATTGACAAAAACTCATAATTCTGTGCTTGGGGCATGGATGATAATCCATCTGAGGATCTAAAGCAGGCTGTCTTTGGCAAGTGCTGCATTTCCATCAGCTCAGAGACGGGTGGCTATTCCCAAAATTGCTTTTTCTACATGAAACCCATGCTGCCACCAAAATATAGTCTGAGGAAACATATTGATAACGTATATACTGCCAATATCTATTTCCACATGCATATGGCTCAGATGTAGATATACACATAGAAGTCATACATAGTTTTTTTTTGGCATAAGCTTAATTTTGATTCATAATCACCTCAAAGCCAAGAGAAACCTTTAAAATAGCCAATCCTGTTATTTAGGCAACCTGCAAAACGTTCTGTGACAACTGGGTATTGTAAGGCATGTTACCCTAGTGGAATGGTTACCACAATATTATACAGCTTTGTATTGCCAAAGGCATGAACCCCACAGGTTTTGCACCACAAAGTAATATTTACTTTTTGAAAAGGTTGCTTTCTTTTGTCTATCTACTGTACATGCTGACTTTACACTCTCCCTCTGATTGTGGGGCTCAAGGATTAGAAAACCAGTTCAACAAATGAACAACCATTACAATGTAAGAGAGAAGAGAAGACCCAATAACAAGCAGCTAAGATGTCCATGCACTTTGGGAGATGCATGTTGCTAGTTTATAGTAAGACATGAAAGAAAAAAAATACCACAATGTGGCTATTCCTGTTCTCCTGGAAGTGTATAATTTGCAAATAATTGTTTAGAGTTTAAAAAATGAGAGAGAGAGACCAATCATTTTTTCTAAATACACAATAAAAGTACAACAAAATGAGAGAGCAATCTTGTAAATTATCATGACTACAGTAAATAAAATGCAAAGGTGGTGCATCATGTATTTATTAGTGCTATGGAGCCTAGTTACTATGAAGGCAGAGTAGCTCTGTATTGAAAAGGTACACGGTCAGGTCACACTTGAGCCATTATTTAGGCTTTCTAGAAATAAGCTTTCTAAAAATAGGCTTTCTATAAATAAGCCCTAAAACCACCAGAAATCTTCCCCTATTTTTGCTTTATTCCAGTGTATTTGTTTTTATATACAAACTTCCCATACTAGGATCCAATCCAGAAACCACTGAAGTCAATGGTGAAACACTGGAATAAGTTGCCTAGGGAGGTTGTGGAATCTCCATCTCTGGAGATATTTAAGAGCAGGTTAGACAGACGCCTGTCAGGATGGTCTAGACAGTCCTGGGTCCTGCCATGAGGGCAGGGGACTAGACTCAATGACCTCGAAGTCCCTTCCTGTTCTAGTGTTCGATGATTCTATGAAAATTCTCCCATTGAAGTCACTGGGCCTTTGGAGCAGGTCCCTAGTGTAGGAGAAAAGGAGACGTGACTAGACAAACATGAAATGGGCATTGTCCAAGAGAAATGTAAATGTAACCAAACAGCAAAAATATTTACAAGTTAATAAGACTTTAACTTCTTTCCATGATAATGCTAAAAGGGGGTGTTGCTTAAGTGTAAGAAATGTAAGTATCTTAAATAATATTCATAGTGATATCATATATACTTTTTGACCTGACAGTGTCCTTTTAAATTGACTAATAATCCACTTTCAGTGTGACCAGCAATAGCTCCTTGTTAGTAAAAGTGCTGATCAGAATCAGTTTGAGTTCCTAAAAAATTCAGATGAGAAACCAACATAGTTACTGAGTTTTTACAGTAGGGTTCGGCCTGTGAGTGCAATTGTACATATACAGTAAAACTCCAGTTGTCCGGCATCCAGTGGTCTGGCACTCCTGCTAGTCCGGCACCACCTGGAACCGTTCCAGGCAGCCGGACAATTGGAGCTGCTCTGCCCTGGGCTTCCCTGAGTCAGCTGCTAGTCAGTTTCAGCAGCAGCTGACTTGGGGACGCCTGGGGCAGAGCAGCTGGGGGGGGGGCTATAAGGGGTCTGGGGCCCCCCCCTTCCGATAGTCCAGCATATCTGATAATCCAGCACCCACTGGGTCCTAAAGGTGCCATATTATCGGAAGTTTAATCTACAAGGAAACCAGCAAAGCCTTTAGCTTGATGTTGTCTTACAGTGCAATTAAACACTATTATTTTGATGGTTCTCTCATTTTTCAGGTTCTCCGATGCATGTCTGATTTTTTGAGGTCAGCTTTCATGCATAAGGGCCAAACCTGAGGCAAGAAACACTTACCAAGAATGTGAGGGGAAGCCTCGTCTTCTTGGATAAACACATGTCTAGCACCAGGGGGGATATCAAACATCTTAAGGTACCCTTTAGCATATGTAGTGGTCATAGGAGAAAGCAAAGAAGAAAACAAAAAGTAATAGCGATGGTTAGTAGAGCACTACATCATCCAGCTTATAGTTGCAGAAGAGGGCATCCATTAACGTGCACACAGTTTCAGATAGGCTTGTAACACATTTGATTAGACTGTTTTTCCCTTTTTCCCTCTTTTTTTGAGGGGGGAAAAAGAGACTGTTACAAACCTATTAACCACTTACTTTGTTATGTTCAGACCATAACAATTCAGGCAAAAAATTGTTTCCTATGTTTCTCAGAATTAAAACAGGTTTTTCTGATTGCTTTTCTTTGTCAGTCACCTTTCAGCCTTACAATGTAATGGACCGTGAGGTGTTCACGCCTCATGTGTATTTGCTTAAATCTGTGAACTGTCAAAGGATTTGGCTACCTGGCACAGCAAAGTGCTCTACTGACACACTACAAAAGGTGTCAACTTCACATGAACGTAGCCTTGCTTCAAATGGGACTGCAGTTCAATGTGAGACTTTAAAATGCATAAGTTAAAGCACATTAATCTCAGTGTACCTGCCCCCCCCAAAACAGAAGCGGCCTTTATTCAGTTTAAGAATCACACCTTAAGTTATACTGGTCCAATTTCTCCCTTACTAGGATGATACCTGATACTTAAGAGTTAAAATTCTCCAGAATGATCATTCATGCTCTAAGGCCAGGTCTGCACTATGGGGAAGGTCGGCTTAACATATGCAATTCCAGCTATGTAAAAAACATAGCTGGAGTCAATGTACGTTAAGCCGAGCTCCAGTGGTGTCCTTACAGCGGGAGGTCGCTGGGAGAAACACTCCCGTTGACTTCTCTTATTCCTCGTGCGGAGTAGGAGAACCAGCACTGAAGGGGGCGCTCTCAGAACTGGATTCAGTGGGTCTTTATTAGACCCGCTAAATTGACCGCTGGAAAAATTGACCATTGTGGCAGTGGAGATGTGGCTTAAGTTGTAACACCTAATTAACTCTATCCCCAAACAAATGGGGCAGAACAATGTTTCAGCTGAAAGAGTAATATTTTCAGCTTCCCACCAAGAGGAGAAAAAACAATAAGTTATGGAAAATTTTTCATTGGCCATGGCCAACAACTTATGTTGCATCAGGGATCAAATGAGAAAATGTTTATGAGAACTGAATGTAAACAAATTTTACCATGTGTAACAATGTTATCCTGGACATGTTTTAAGACAGAGTATTGTTATAATTTCTTTGCCTACAACTTAACTGAGGGCCTCGACAACTTTAAATTAGGCAGAATGGGTAGGAATGGTCCCTAGCCTCTGTTTCTCTGGAGGTGGGAGACAGGGGAGGGATAACGTGAGGATTATCTTTGTATTCCATCCCTCTGGGCATCTGATATTGGCCACTGTCAGCAGAGAGGATATTGGGCTGGATGGACCATTGGTCTGACCCAGTATGGCCGTTTATGTTCCTTAAATGTTCTTGATGTACGTAGTGGTCTTGATGTACGTACATTTAACCAAGAAAAATCTTAGCGTTAACAAAGCATATCCCTAAAACATGTCCATGTTTATAAAATATGCCATATAAATAAATATAATTTGCTCATTCTGAGATGCTTTGTTTCCCAATAAAGTATATAAGTTGCAGTCCTAATATAGAATCATTGTAAACAGATGGGGCAAGATTTGATTTTTTTTTTTTGCACTGAGCAAATAAATGCTTAACCATTCAAATTTAACAATGGGGACTTTTGAACTGAAGTCCTGCCTGTGCTGTTGGTATCTGGATCTGCAGCATACCACTGCTTCCTGGAAAACTGCTGAAGAAAATGGAGAACTCTGAATAGATAAATGAATACTAAGGGCTGATGGGTGGCTGGTTTTATACTAATCTGCACGAGCAGGAAATACCAAGCCTTTTACTGCTCAGTGATCAAACATATGAAACAAACATTTTGCCTGTTCTTGCAATACCTGTAAGTGACTAGCTGGAAATTAGAAGTGTGGCAAGAACACTGCAGTTGTCATGGATGCCTGTCTTTCTGCAACCAGGTGAAACTTACCCAGAATATTTTTAGACTCCCTGGTTTCAGAGAGAGAAATATTACGAGCTCCTTTGGGCAAAGTGAATGCTCCTCTTGTCTTCCCTTAAATAGAATGTCTTTAATTAGTGTTCTGGGAACTGAGTCTTGCTGTTTCATTGACTATAATGTCAGCCAGGTGTATTTTACAAATGAAACATATAAATTATATGGTTACAGTATGCGCTGAAGTTCAAAATGCATTTAAAATACTGTTAGAAATATCCAGCAAATTTTAATAGTCAATGAAAGTGAGACTATGCATGAATGAAAAATCAGGTAGGTGATTTTAAGTCAGATACTTGCAGATTTCATTTTCCAGCAACTTGAATTCTCTTTGGCACCTCTTGCTTAAATGTTTTCCTGTTGGAAGAGTTTGGTTAGTCTTTTAATGACTATATTGCCACAGTTACTGTAAAGCAATAGATGTTATGCTAGCACCAAAACATCCCTTTGGAGCTGAATGATCAATTACTGTCTTTTACAAACAGCCTCGGAATGACCTTACTCACCCTCAAGACTTTTGAGTTTCAGACATTTGAAAGACAGTTATACAATCTTTCTTATACAATCATATCCACATCACAGACTGTTGTCTAATATCTATAGCATAGACAAATATACACCAACCTGAGTAGAGCCAGTCAAAAATGCTGTTTCTTTCACACACACACACAAATTTTTAAAGTGAGAAAATTGGAAAATTCAGAACATTTTGATCATCTTTTGTTCTGATTACTAAGAACTTAACTGTCAGAAAGCATGAAGTCCTTCTGATTCAAGAAATATAGAGGGTTGTATATATGGCTCCAAAGTGTTGTCTTCCATCCAATTTCAATACATATGTGCATTCATTACATTCTGCACATAATTTGCCTTGGCTGGATTCATACCAACCAGCAAAATATGCAGCAAAAACAATCACATGTGTTCTGTAAGGACTTTATAAAGCGCCTCTTAAAAAAAAAAGTATCTTGTCTTTCCACTGGGCTGGAGAACAGCTAGCAGTGAGAATATTTTGCTGTGGAGTCCTTATCACATTTTACTGTAATAAATGCTACCTTATTTTAATCTAATTTTAATGGGGCTGTCTAGCTAGTGACTAAATTCTGCCATCATCGAGGTTGCAAATCTGGCATAGTTTCACCATCAACAGCAATGCAAGTTCAGACATAGATATACTCCTCCTCCTTCAGCTTCATCCCTGCTCCATCTCAGACCCCCTCAGAACAGACAGCCTTTGCATAGCTGTGCTCTATGGCATGTGTGGAAACCTTACAGGGATGGTGTTCCCTCTACAATCCCTGACAAGCGGGACCTGGGCAGGATTTGTCCTTAAAAGAAAGGTTTTACTTAATTTTTCTAAAATAAAAAGTTTGAAAAGTCTTTCAATGGCATAAGCCACAGGAATAAAACTGATATTCCCTTCATTTCCTTGTTACTTATATAATAGTTCCTCTTTTAACCGGTAATTTGATGGTTAGATCTTACAATTTCACTCCCAATTAGTTTAAAAAAAAAAAAAAAAGCAGAACCCCCTAGAAACTGTCTTGATGTGCCTTTGTATAAGCTGAACACTTGATAATATGGTCTCAATTGTGTAGCTGTCCTTTCCATTTGCTATCATTGTGAGATCAAACATCTCAGTAAAGGGATGGTCTCATTTAAATGCACTGAGATACTTCTGCACTTACATAAGCACAGCTTTCACAAGCTTCAAGTAGCAGGCATGAATATCGGAGGACTGAATTTGGCACATCTTTATTAAGAGGAGTATATTAAGTATAATATTCCATTAGCTCAACAGTTAAACTGACATAGTTGAAATGTCCAAAGTAGGCCAGAGGATTTCAAGCTGTTATTAACACGAATGGAAAATGTGTGGCAAAATCCCCAAGCGTCTCTCAAAAAAAATCTCAACTTTGACATTTTTTCCTTTCAGCCAACTGATCATTATCACGCACACCCTCCACTTCATCACAATCCACTGCCTTTAAGTAAAGTACAAAAAAGAAGATTCCACTGAAAAATACTTGCACATTCAATTCACAATTACGCTAAATACTCGACTTCATGCACAAAAATGTGTGTGGGAATTGTGGTTGTGTTCATTTTTTTCTTGGACATGGCCCTTGTACTTTGGGAGTTTATAGAAAGTCAACTTGACACCAAACACACTCGTATTAACAGACGCCTAGATTTCTATACATGTCTCTTTCCCATCAATTTAAATGTCAGTGGAGAAGCTTGTGAAAAAACACAATTCCTCCCAATTTTTAAATGGTTTTCGTTAGCAAGGCTAGAGGGAAAAGTGTGTAATACATAATGTTGCAAAAGAAAGAGAGAGGCAGGTGCAAAAGACACATTGAATAAAATAAATTAATCATTAAATGGTGTTTTTCATCCCTGAGTAAATGCTCAGATTTAGCAGGCTAAAAGGTAGGTCACATTAAGCTCCCAATCCGGTACTACTGAACTCAGGCCTGCCTCTCTCATACACAAACGAGGTGCTGGAATGATTTTATAGTTGGGGTGTTGCGAGCTACTGTACCAAACTGTAAAGCTTTTGTATGATGGAAACCACTTGAGGACTACCACTGGCCCTGTAGTTCCAGCATCTCTGACCCCTCAGAGGGTAAAGAGGTGCTAAAACATATCCCCCCCCTTTAAGTCTCCTTTATGCAGCCAGAGCAGAGTAAATGGCTGCTACTGTAATTGAGAAACAGACCCAACTGGTGGCAATGATGCAGGATCTGGCCCTAAATCATCTCACCTGAAATGAAAAATAATAGGCCTGGAGATTTGATCTTGTTTCCATGTTTCACTATTAGCCTTACAGGTTATTTTTTTTGTTTAGCAAAGATCGTATTTTTACCACTGATCAGAGCCATCCCCTATTACTAACTGGAGAACTACATATGCTCTACACAGCGAGAGTCCAGTGTAGCCAACATGTCTTAACAGGTCCTTCAAAAACCAAAAAGAATCGCTAGTTAGTGTCTGGAAAATATATGCATTCTGCTAGCAAAGCAGTAAGTAGTTTGTATTCTGTCTTGCAACTTTGTGTAAGCAGGGGAGGACACCTTCTCCTGAGCAGTCCATTTTAATAAACATGACAACAGAGAATATAGCTGGGTGTATAAAAGTGCTCATCCTACCAGGCTTTTTGGGAGTCCGGGTAAAGGTCCCTTTGACAGTTCGGCAATGAGTGTTATCTCCACCGCAGACCCCACATTTATCTTCAACTTTGTTGGAACCAATTTCCTTGTCACAGCCCACTTTCTGCAGAGGAGAGCAAGAGGAGTGTTGGGTTTTCCCCGCCCCCATAAATAACACTGCGGAATGCAAAGTTCACCCGAGAACTGATGTAAAAATACTTGAAAGACTGTGACAGAACAGCATAATGAAAGCTACAAACTGATTCCTGTGATGAACCCATTACTAACTTTCCCTTAGGGAATGAGTAGTTCTGTGGCACTTTGGAGATGAACAAGTTAGTTCCTAAGGGTATGTCTAGACTGCATCCCTCTGTCGGCAGAGGGATGCAGATTACGCAGGTCGCCATTGCAAATGAGGCAGGGATTTAAATATCCTGTGCCTAATTTGCATAAAAATGGCCGCCGCTTTTTGCCGGCTCAGCACTTTGTTGGCAAAAAGCAGCAGTCTAGAGGGGGATCCGTCGAGAAAGAAAGCCTTTTTCAAAAGATCCCTTATGGCTCCTGCAAGGAGGTTTACAGGATCTGTTGAAAAAGGCTCTCTCTCTCGACAGATCCCCCTCTAGACTGCTGCTTTTTGCCAACAAAGTGCTGAGTCGGCAAAATGCAGTGGTCATTTTTATGCAAATTAGGTGGATATTTAAATCCCTGACTCATTTGCACTGTCGACCTGACTAATCTGCATCCCTCTGCCAACAGAGGGATGCAGTCTAGACATACCCTAAGGTGCCACAGGGCTACTTGTTTTGAAAATTACAAACTAAAACGGCTTCACCTCTGAAACTTTTACCCTTAGGGACAGTAAATGAAGGAACAGGAAACCGAGAACTTCAAGTAGAATTTCTTTTCACTTAAATTCATAGAAACGCAGGTCTGGAAGGAACCTCAAGAGGTCATCGAGTCCAGCCCCCAGCACTATGGCAAGACACTTGACAGGTGTTTGTCCAACATGCTCTTAGAAACCTCCAGAGATGGGGATTCCACAACCTCCCTTAGAAGCCTGTTCCAGAGTTTAACTATCATCAGACTAAGAAAGGATTTCCTACTATCTAACCTAAACCTCCCTTGCTGCAGATAAAGCCCGTTACTTCTTGTCCTTCGGTCAGTGGACCTGGAGAACAATTAATTACCATCCTCCTCACAAGAGCCCTTAAGATATCTGAAGAGGATGATAATCAATTGAGCTGTTAATACATAGAAAAAAAAGGTTTAAAAGAAATCAGTAGAAGCAACTGGTTTAAAAAGAATTTAGACAATCACAGTATCTGTAAGAAATAAATCTGTAGTCTTGCTATGATTTGTATTAAAATTGGAGGAATTCTGGAAAATATTATCGGTGAACATTTCATATTCACAAATTCCATCTGATACTGTAGTACTCCACAAGCAGTGTATTTGACCAGCTCTCATTATGATTATCAAAAATGCTGCACGATCAGTAAAACAACCTTAAATACATTTCACTCACCACACACTCTCCCCGCACGCAAATGCTGTATGGATCTTTATAGGAACAGCGAGTCCCGTCATGTGCCAGTTGTTTCATATAAGCAACATTTCCAGTTTCTTTGGACTGGCAGTATAAGTGGCATCTTTTGTTGGCTGAATAACAGGAAAAGAGAGCTAACTGTATTTCAGCAACCCAAATATGCTTTAAAACACAAGCCACCACAAAGTTTTAATTCAGTAGCAAAAGGAATGCTGCAGGGTACTAATACAAATGTGTAATGTTTTAGTCCTGTAAGAGGCTACACATCTTCAGTTCTCATGGAATCAACTCCCTTTGAAAAGACTGCCCAGGACTGAGCCTTTAACCAAAAGCAGCTATCTACTTTGCTCCCCAATGAAAGCCAGGTTCAGTATGGGATACTGCAGAGTGGCGGAGTAATCTGGGATTTCCCAAAGAGCCTATAATAATTATGCACCCAAACCCACCAACATTAAGAACAAGGCACCTAAATCCCTTAGGCTCCCTTGAAAATCCCAGCCCTAACTATATTTCTAGATCACGCCATCTAATTTCACATTAAAAATACTGTGAAAAGTATATTCTATGAGATAAAGCCTACGAAACTCAGAACAAGAAAACCAGCAATGCCGGCAGCAACCCAAAGAGTTCAGTGCTGACAATCCAGCGCTTATATTTGCCTCACCCATATTTCAGTACAGTTAGCCTAAACAGAACGATTAACTGGAGTTAATAGTAGACAAGGTCTGCTAGCTGCCAGCTGGGGGCAAACGGGAGCATAGAAAAATGGAAAAAATACTAAGCAGGTCGTAAAGCAATGCCATCGGGACAGCACACTTGTTACTTTCCGCTGCAGTGGATGAGAGCGGCAACAATGATTAGATAACAGCGTGTCACTCTTGTGGATGTGGGGGAGGGAGGCAAGCTGGCGCTCGGAGAAGCCTTTCTGCACCTGAGCGGAGTCTTGTCAAACACCCTAACTCAGCCAGAGTTACAATGTGCTGAGCGAAAGTGATACCCACAGCAGGAGCTCAGAACCTCTATTTTGTACCATTGCTTTTCCTGCTTTTTCTTCTCACCTACTTGCATGTTCACCCTTGTTATTTAGGGACATAGCAGCATCTCAACAATGCCTTCAAATCCCAATGTGCTGCAAGATTCCCGTAGGCAATGGGTTTGTTTGGTTTTGCGGAAACATAAAAGGGTAGCATACTTACAGTCAGGGTGCTCATATGGCAGCCAGTGGTGCTTGCTCTTCTGATACTCGAAATGGGAATTACGCTGCTGACATTGCTGCGCTCGGAAGTCCTCAAAGTGCTTTGGACATTCTTCTGTGTTGCAAAGCTGATACTCAAAATTCACACTGGCACAATCTTGACCACCATTGATAGGCCTAAGGAGGAAAGAAGTTTAGAAAGCTTTTGAAACCTTTGAACATCAGGAGTGGAGATTTTCTGATGGAATACACTAGGGAAAAATTCATTTGCAAATTCAACACTATCCATTTAGGATTGAATAAGGATCTCAACTGGTTAACACACTACAAAGGCAATTCCCCCTCTCTGGACTTTCAGATCTTCACATCAAATGCTGTGAGTGAGCCACTTTCACCGTGACTCGATTAGCCTCATTAACACGAGCAATTTATTTCTTTTATATATGTATACATACACACACACACACACACACACACACACACACACACACACACACGCCTCTGTTACTTTAAATCTTACTTATCTGATGAATTGGGTTTTACCCACAAAAGCTTATACTCCAATAAATGTGTTTGTTTGTCTCGAAGATGCCACAGGACTCCTCATTGTTTCAGTGAAAAACAGTAAGAGGAAGAGCAAAGGGGTTTCCCACAACAAAGGGTTAAATATCACTTTTCAGGGCACGCTTCAAAAGCAGTGGTAGAACAAGTAAATTGCAAAGCGTCATGTGTGTGTGCTGGTCAGGTAATGAGACAGATAGATACTCCCTGAGCAGGCCTAGATGGGAGCAGTGGTGTGTGCACTGATAATGGTTGATATATAGTCAGATAATTACACTGAAACACAGATAAAGTTCTCGTGTTGTCATCTAACAGTCGGTTTTGCAGGCTGTAGTGTTCCTACCGCACCTTCTCTTCACCCCTTTAGTTCCCAGGATCTCGTAGGTGTTCTTCCAGAGAGACCTTTCTGGAAATTCTCCAGAGATGGGCCCATTCTCCCAGCTCCCTGCAAAGAGTCTGGCTGCAAGGAGGTTAGAGTGGACTAAAAAGTCCAGTTGTTGGGATGGGGTCCACTGCAGCTTTTTAGGTGCTCTATGGTGCCCACACAAACCACTGGAATAGCAGGAAAGCCTCTGTGCTATTTAAGTTTATGACTCTGGGTAATCTCAGACCCAGTAGCCACCATCTTGTCATTCTCTCTGCCTTCACCACAATGCTCAATCCACTGTCTTGTGTGAAGAAGTGGCAGAGAGCCCAGCACCCCTGAGCTCGGCGTGTGGTGTCCCCGTGTCTCTAATCTGTAGGTGTGCACCACCCCACGTGCAGTAAAGCCATTGCTCTTGTGCTACACTGCCGGTGGGGGCAGTCCCTTTGCTCAGGTGTGAACGTCCTTCACGAACTCCAGACCCACGGGAACCGCCGGTTCGTTAGAACACGCCCAGACTTACATTGGATTGTTGCACTGGCGGGTTCTGAAGCGAACGCCAGTACCACAGGTCCGCGAACAGGAGCCAAACTTGGTCCAGGATCCCCAGTTGCCATCCTGTTTCAGCTGGTTAGCATTCTTCCACATGCAGTGACCTTTATAGCACCACTGAGGAGAACCAGGAGAGAAACAAAGACGTACAGTTACAGTCACATGACACGCGATGCGGAGACGAGCCCAGGGAAGGATTTTACTGGAACCATCTCCCCCATAGTAAGGGACACTTGCAGATGCACTGCCCAAGGCACACACTCAACTCTCTAGCGGAGGAACAGCATCGAGGGGGAGGGGAGCAGCAGACCTGCAGAGGCTACTCGCTCTGTGCTGGGACCCACAATGCAATTAGGCAGTGCAGGGAAGTGAGAGTGACCTATACGCCTGCTTCCTCCCTGGCTCCAGCACATAAAGCTGGACACAAACCAGCCCCTAGTTAAATGGATAGGACTCTTTGTTTTTTCCTTTTGGGCTCTTTCCTGGTCTGACACCATTTAGCACCAGCATTTTTAAAAAAACTGTTGCACTATACAGTGCCCAGAAGCAGCACAGGGATTTTTGCTCTTACTGTACTCTTTCTAACGTCCATTTATACTGAGATAAAGGGTTAGTCATCCGGCAGCGCCCTTTTTGCTGTTGGCTATGGCATAAGCAGCTTCTCTGTATCTCAAAGTACACAGAATTTGCTAAACAAACATTTAGAGAAGTGTAAGCTGCTAATTAAAAATGAGAGTTAAAAGCAGGGACCCACCGCTGGAGATATTAAAAGAGAAACAGTCAATCCCAGGCATATTAGTACTCTGGTAGCCACAGGATGTCTAGACCACAAGCACCAAGCGTAATGACTTTAATCCTAGAGTAAGAGCAAAGTCTGCTACTGTGGCTTCTCACCGCTGCTTTTTTGGCAGTTTTCAGATGAAACAAGAACCCAGAAATGACACTGAGGCTGAGCTTCAATCTTCCGGCTCCCAACACAATTTCATAAAGTACCTCGCACTCTAAGCAGATTGTACGATAAGCACTGAACAGGGCACATTGGGCAGCTTTTCCTTCTTTATGACCTTGGCTTCGTTCCTCCCACTGACATCAAGAACTTCTGGGATTAAGTCCCCAAGTGAGATCTGTCTTGATATTTTAAAATAAAAAATACGAAAAACATAATCAACTCACTTTCCCAGGGGCACACTCTGTGCCATCGAGCGGAGGTCCTTTCTTAGTCTTACAGAAGAATGGATTATCTGGATGGCTACACCACAGCTGCTTACATGGGTCAAAGGTTCGAAACTGAAATGTATTAAGAAATGCAATGCATGTATTAAATGAAATTAACACTCATGTTATTGATACTGTCCAAAGCAGCAAGTGCACATTTCGTTAAACCATTTCACTGGTTAAAACTAAGCTGGCTACGATAATTTAATTACACATTTAAACACATCACACAGACATCCATCCATGAGAATTACTGCCAATTTTGGTGAACCCATGCTTTGTAAGTTCCCACATTTTCATAAAACCTCTGGTGTGGTCAGAAAGGAGCCTGGAACCATATTTTACTGCACTTCACACCTTTGTGCTGTTTCAACAAGCTCTGCCTCTTGCATTGCTCAAAAAAAAATGATGGCTACTTTTCAGTACTTTTCAGGGTTAAAAGCAACTAGATGAAATGGTTTTAATCTTTAGAACAACCACTCTGGACATACCGCTGTGCACATTTTGTAGCCAACACCAAAATCAAAGCGGCATTGCTCATCCATAGAATAATTGATTCCTGGCAGTTCAGGAAGTTTGGGCCAATCGTGTTCGAAGGGGTCATCAAGGAGACAGTCATAGGAGCTGTGGGAAGAGAAAAATGGAAAGCCCATGACAACACTCAGTGATATTTTTCCATCAGTGTAATTATTTGTTTGTTCTCATCCCTTAGAATGTGTGTTCACCACAACATAGGACTCTAAGGCCTGGTCTACACTGGAGCAAAAGGTTGACCTAAGATATGCGGCTCTAGCTACATTAATTGTGAACGCTTCTGTCAGTTCCCTTACTCCTCACGAGGAGCAGGAGGATCAGCACTGATGGGGGCACCCTCGGAGTTCAATTTAGCATGTATTTACTAGACCCACTAAATCAAACCTTGGAAGATCGACCGCAGCAGCGTCGATCTTCCCCGTAGTGTAGGTGTGCCCTAACTGAGCAGGGGAAAATAATATGGTGGTGGTTCGTGGAGTATCCAGGACTGGGAGTTTTACTTGAGAATGACTTGCAGTTAGCTCCCTAATACTAGCAGCTTTTCAAGCCATCTCCTCTAAGCTGTAACAGCCCAGCCTTTGCATTGCAAGTTAACAAGAAGTACACCTAGTCCGCAAGTCCCTTTGCATTATTCCTCTGTGATATCCAGCCCCTGACACTTCTTACTAGGGTTGCCAGATGGTTGAAACAAAAATACCGAAACCCCCAACCACCCGGTGTAGGGGGGGGGGGGAGAGACCAAAGTTGTTAAGCAAAAAAAATAAAAACAAAAAAAATAAAACAGCATTAAAACAGCATGTCCCCTTTAAGAGTTAGTGCAGGGATTAGGAACAGTAGAGAAGTTGAGCACTAAGACCCAGGGGAAAGTATTGCTTCCCCTAGGTCTTTTGGCTGGCAGCTATTTTGTGCCGGCAGCCTTGGGGAACCAGGTAAGCATGGGGGCTGGGGTCGGAAGACTGGGGGTGATGGGAGCCGGACGGGGTTTGGGAGAGGGGAGCCCAGGGGGGAGTGGGGGGAGGCCAGGTGCTGAGTGTTTGTAGGGTTGCCAGGTGCCCAGCATTTTTGTCTCCTAGCTGGGAAAAAATTCAGAAAATACCGAGCATTTTAGGTGTCCAGTATTCTCTGAATTTTTTTTACTGGACAGGAGCCAAAAATACCAGACTGTCCGGGTGAATACCGGACACCTGGCAACCCTCCCTCTTACTCACAGAAATCCCAGATCTTTTGCCCCAAATGGAGCAGTGTATTCCAGTTTACCATAAAATTCTGCTCCTGTAAGCCACCCAGCACTGGTGAGCACTTACAAAAGCAGGTTTATTTAAGACGGGCTAAAGAAATTAGAGAAAAAGGTGGAAACCAATGGCTACAACATAAAACAAAATCGTAACATGAAAATCTGGGTCTGCACATTTCCTACCTCATAAAGAAAGCTTTTCCCCCCAAAGTTCAGTCTGTTGCAGAGTCAGCTGGCTTAAGAGTCAAACATTCATGAGAAACATCCCTGCTCCAGAATGGGTTTCCTTAGTGATAGCTTCATCTGCCTCTGTATTTACTAAAAGTTGCCTTTAATATCTATTGATGGATAGTGCCAACCCCGGTCTTCCTGTAAAGTTCCTTTTTTATCACCAAATGATTCTGATTATTTGAAGTGGCCTCTGATGGTTTCTCATTGAAAGTCCTAATAAGGGTAAACAATTGAACCATGCACCGTATCCCTGGCTAAACAGGCTGGGAAGACAACTCTTTTCTGCCCAAATGGGCCATCAGCATGACACATTATCTCCTGGCGACTAATTTTTTACTCCAAGTCCGTATAAGCAGACACTCAGGATGTGCTAGATTACAGGTTTTTTAAAGAAAAAAAGTGGCCTTTAAAAAAAAAAAAAACCCACCTTCCCCTGCATCTAGACTGCTACCACGTTCTTTCAAAAGTAAATTGAAAGAACGCGGGTTTTTTTCAAACGTGGAAAACCTCCTTTTACGAGGAAGAACGCCTATTTTCGAAAGTGCTTTCGAAAAAAGGCGCTATGTAATGCAAACTGTGCTTTTTCAAAAGAGAGCATCCAGACTGCCTAGATGCTCTCTTTCGAAAAAGTGGCTTGCTGTTTTGAAAGTATTG